AACATTCGGGATTTTAGCCTGCGTCTTGCCTTTACAATTTTACAAGCTGTCGTAAATTTTTTGAAAAAAAATTGGGCTTATGAAAAATTAGGAAAGCTGATAAAAAGTAGCCATGCTTTCGGTTCAAGGTGCTGGAGCGCAGCACTGCTCAGTGCCAGCAGTCAAAGCAACACCTCTTTCCAAATACTCCTAGTCACTTGATATACACTATACCCTGGAGAAGGGGAGAGCGTGGCTGCGTACTTCATTTCAACATGGCATAGGATGGGTTTTTCAGGGGATACTTCAATTTGAGACAACTGTCATCCTGTCTTGTACTGGACGAAGGCATGGTACAATTGTCCCAAAACGGTTGTATTCCACCGGAAGCACAGCCCCGTCACCTTCAAATGAAGTGCGCAGCCACCGCACGCCGCCCTCGGGAAATGGAGTGTTGCCGTAGCCACACGGACCTGAGTCGTCTATTGGTACGATAATTTGTCATTCTTCGAGTATCGGCCATCTAGAACTTCCTTCTACTCTGCGCTTTTTGATTATTTTTCAAATTTAGGCTTTTCCTGATATCACTTTCATTTGGCGATATGAAAATCTAAGCAATAAGTTCTGCAATGCAAGTAATATCATTTTGCACGATTGGCTTCCTCAAGTGGATATGTTAAGTGAGTGACTTTTCCCAGCACGAATATCGATTTTTGAACAGTACCATATGTTTTGTATCGTCAGAAAGATTCTTATTTGTGAAAGATTTCTAGATGATAAACATATGTTGGCATTCATTACTCATGGCGGCATGGGTGGCGTTTTCGAAAGTGCCTACGCAGGTGTACCGGTAAGTAACGGGATGCAGAATATTTATGTACTCTGGCAAACTAGGGAAAGTTAAGAGCAATTTTGAAAAGGGAAATGACGCTAAGTGGCCAAACGGGTTCGAAAGGAAACCGCGCTAAGCAGTCTCTTTCTGAATTACGCGATGCATTCTACCTCCATCTGGAATCGCAGTGGCTTCTGAAGGCATATTTTGCCCGCACAACGACTTGCGAAAATGGAGGTCGCTATCACTGTCCCAAAACCAGCTTTGCTCGGTACGATTCGACACAACAGGCGGTCTAAGCGTCAATGGCACCTGAGGATACCTGTCAACCGCGAAGCCTGCATCCTCCTCAGTTTTTTCTTCCTTCTTTTCCTCCCAACCTTTTCTCTTCCTCCTCCTTTTCCATGAATAAACCAGTGGTCAATCTGGTAGTGCTATCGCCAAAGACACGAATGTAGGGTATCTGGTGCCTGGTACAGGATCTGGCTTGCACTGTCTAATGCGGCACTTCGAAGAATGTAACCAGTTTACAGAACCACCAATGGCTATCGCGAGGGCTCTGCATTTATGAAAGGCCAGAATGCAGCAAAAGTTGCGCGTTCTTTGTTTGCTGGAATTTCCACCCCATAAAGGTGACCGACGCAGAGCCCACTCTTGCTGATTGGTTTCTTCCCTGGATGAGTGCGGAAAGGCAAATTAAATGCGTGAATTCCAGTAGAAAAGACCAAATCAATAAGACAATTTGGCGAAAGCTACACTTAAATTACTTTTATTTCCCTTTTTCGGGTAATTGCGTAGAAATAGCCGTGGCCATTTGAACACGTCGTTTGTTTGAATGTTTTATGCTCAAATTACAGGTCATTACCATACCATTGTTTGCTGACCAATTACGTAACGCCAAAATGTTGCAATATCGTGGAATGGGTATAGTAATCGATAAAGATGAAGTTACCACTAATCGATTAATCGCAGCTATAGAGGAAATATTGCAACCGAGGTAATATTGACTGGTTCATCCTGTGAAGCTCCACTCTTTTGAATCTAGGTCACATTTCGATTGAGCCTATTCCTTGGAGGTAGATTGGGCAAAACTTCGTCTCACATCAGATGGACAAAGATTGCATCAACCTGAAGCGAAGACCAGGGCACAGCATTCGATGGGGATTTTGGTCGAGCCTGTACGACCCCCCCCTTTTTTGGGGGTTCGGTACGACCCCCCCTTTTTTTGCCGTTCGGTTTTTTTCGCCTTAAATGAAACTATGAAACGCCCACTATGAAATTCTACTTGTATGAAGGTGCCCATACTAAATGGACGACTTGAAGTCATGACATAATAGAACAATACAGAGATGATTGCAAACAAAAAACGGTACAATCGTATTATGAGAAACTCGTATGATGAACTTCTTCGATGGCCGTTTTGAAACACACATGGTAATAATAACGATGTATCGCGATTAAATTCAATGAGCATTCGTTAACCTGAGGTGGACTCCCTCTCTGGGAGCGGCCATCAGCGACCACAGTGTTAACAACGTCTATTCCCAAGATTGAGGACGAGGAAAAGAGAAAGTTAGGCTTGTCTCACTACGTAACAGTTATACAAACCGCCGTAAAAATGCATTACCCCGATTATTGGAGTACGGTAGCAGAAGCGCATGTAATTGCAGATGTGACCGCAGATCGTTCGGCAATTTTAGCCATGGAGCGAGAATTTTCAGCAAAGTAGGGTGTCTTTGAAGGACCATAACTTCCTCAAAAGCGGACCTGTGGGGAAGAGGAGACCGTATTCGTGTAGAGGAAGGTTTGCACTTCCTAAAAGTACTGAAACGTTTATGAAGGTCGCAAAAATCACAGAGAAATCTGCCCATAGGGATTCCATGGGGAGTGAAGGGTTGAAGTTTAAGTTGAACAGGTTTGAATCAAATATTTTTTTTGTAACTCAACATTTCACAAATCTGAGAACGGTTTCGAGTGTTTGAAGATTTTCTCTTTCTAAAAACCTCTTGAACTGTTTCTGAAGCTCTCGGGATTCATGAGATCTCGCTATGGGGATTTCTTGAGGAACACTCCCAGCTGCGCGAAAAACCCGTTTCCTGTGTACAAGTGAGCGTGTTCGAATAGCCAGGAACGCATGTAGAACGTATCCTGTGGTGGAGCAGGAGCAGGATATGGTTCGTTTAGCGCCGATCACGCTGACTTTGGATGCGCCGCGCACTGAGGTCCGCGCAGAGGTGATGGGATGGTGCAACTTGTGCGTAATGTCTGTCACGCGAGCAAATGTGTCTATAAGGTTCAGGGAGGTCCATGGCGAGCCTGTGCACTTGTTTACAGTGTTTTCCGTTGCGTATGATGGAACATGTCCCTGTCAACGCTGCCAGATTCGTGCTCCGCCAATCGCTGACTCCGATAAAGGAGACCAACTGCTGGAAAACGTCTGATATGAACGATATGGTAGTCCTGTCGCTTGTCGAGAAAAAAACAGGTTGGCTCAGCGCCAAGCGCGACGCGGACACGCCATATCATTGGCAGCGAACCAGAGTTTGAGTTGTACTGTTTAGTCACCAACGGACTTACGAGATGATGTCGACTTATTAATATTTGCAGTTATTTCGGATTAGTTTGATGAATGAAAGTTTTGTACTATTTTTTGCATATCCGAGTTCTCTACAAAGCAAGTTTCGCTGTACAGGACTCAGCACATTGACAATTTGCGCTGCTCGTTACTGGCTGCCGCACTCACTACGACCCCCCCCTCTCCTGGCGGCCAAATACGACCCCCCTGTTGGGGATTCCCCAACCAACGATGTGCCCTGGAAGACTCGCGCTCACGCCATACGCGCCGGCCTCACAGGCCTGCTCAGGTGCCTGTACCCGTGCATAGCGCAAACAGGAGTTTCCCCTGCAAGCAATGTGATATTCGCTTTCAGAGGGCCCAAGCCCCTCAGGGCGAATTCTTAGTTATCTTGTCGTCTTTTAAGTGTTTTTGCTGTGGAGCCCGTAAACCGGGAGCCGGGCGGTTCTGATTTTAGGGAAGGTAAGATTACTGTTTATGGGGCCAAACCGCTCCGGGAAAGAATTCTCCCAACTTCTCCTCCAGCGGAAAATTTTGAGTAAATTTCAATCTTATTGTCATGAAAGAATTGCCTATAACGTGAACGAATTCGTTTTTTTGGAACCAACTGCCGTGGTGCCGTGCTCGCCGAAAAGGCTTTCTATTCCGATTTTTTTTAAATCTGTAGGAAACTCATGAGAAGTTCTATGGAAGCCTGCACTGTCTATGAGTTCTAGCAAGATCAACACAGCCTTTGTTTGATCAGAATTAGTGCATTCAGCAAGTACTTTCATTCAGTCTTGATCGACTTCTACTTCCATACAGAATCACAAGGCATTTTGATTTAGCCCAAACACTAACTTGTGGAGGCTGACGGTGGAGCGATGAGAGGCTTGTGTGGAGTGGGCCAGGGTTAATCCAAGCTTGGCCCTCTAAAACGAGAGCATGTCAAGCCGTGCCGTCCGCTATTGCATTACACAGGCCTTGATGAGCTTGTATTTTCCGGCTGAGCCATTATCAGCCTTCTAAAAATTGGACAAAGTGCCAGCGTTTTTTTCTTTCTTTGATTTCAGGTATTCCAAAGCCGCTCGACGCATTAGTGACCAACTTCAAAACAAACCTTTCACACCCGAGGATGTGCTCGTTCGTCATATCGAATATGCCATACGTTTTAATATTACCAGCAGCCTTAATAATGTCTCCACGCAGCAGTCTATCATTCAGTATTATATGCTCGACATCATTATTCCATTCTTACTCATAACCACTGTAATTATACTAGTTCTTTGGAGAATCCTTTTCGCTGTAATTTCGTTCGCTTTAGGAATTTTGCTGGCGAGAGTGAGGATTATGAAAACTAAACAGCAATAGATTCAGATCTGACCGCATACTGCTTTTCGCGATAAGTTATTCTATGATTAGGCGATAACGGTGTGAGTGTTGGTTTTTGCCGCAATGGACAACTTTGTGCTACTTCTAAGTCTGAAAGTTGTAAAGTAGACAATTAGGCGCAAATGTTTACATAGTTGCTTCATCTGAGGGCGAGCAACTCCGCCCGCACTGCTGTCTGTCATCTCGTTCTTTTGTGCGCTCTCTCGCCCCTCTTGTCTAATCTCTTCTAGGTAGAATCGACTGCAGCAAGGAGATCATTATTTGGATCGCTTTCCGCTGCTTTTTTCGACGTTTATGGCTACTTCTTTTCAACGAGTGGGTCGAGCGGCCTATACATTTTTTTGTTTTTTAACTCCGCTTCAAGCGTTTTTTTAACTTCCGCTTCAAGCGCAATGCACCGCGAAGCGGGTGTTTAGGTAATCCGCATGGACGGGATAATTTTACGGTGACCACTGCAAGGTATCCAATTCCCCCCCCTCAGAATCATCTTCAACTGGGATAGGTCAAAGTGTTGAAAGTGACGAGTTGCATTCTTGTAACCTTTTTCTTGACTTTTATATGAACAGCCCATTTTTCTTTTTTGGTGGATAATAAGAAATCGACTTTGTTAAGTGAACTGGTCCTAAAGCTGAGAACAGCCCCGGGTAAAGATGCTTGGGAGGGACAAGTGGCGACCCCTTTTTGCATGTCATCCTTGCCTTCACATCTCATGTCTGCCTGTCTTACCACCGCTTCCTGAAGCTTTGGAATCGGGTCAATGCGCCACTTTCCTGTGAGCATGCAGTCTTACACACTTACTAGTTCAGGCACTATATCGATTAGAGATCGCGGACAGGCAAACACGAAGTAGAGTGGCAGCCAGGGCAGGTCGTATCTCGAGTCCTATTGCACAACGTCGGGTCCTATTGCGTTGCGCGTGTGAGGGGATCCAATCCGACTTGGAAAATTTTTTTAATATTGTTGACTTTTCTCGCTTTCGTGACCGCCTAGTTGGCGGTGAGGCAAAATTACTAGATATTCCTAAAAATTCATCAGAGATTTGCTCCTACCCCTCCTCCCCGATCGCAGCGGAAATTCTAGAAAAACTTGGTAATAGATTAGGTTAATGCGAGGCAGGTGTCCTTCCAGAAGAGATTACAATTAGCCGTATTTTCAAAAATTTCCCACGTTTCCCGGAGTATGGACCTATGCAGCCGTACCCGGCGTGCTCTCCTTCTCAACCGTATTCGTTCCCTCCTCTTTTCGGTTCGTGAAACTCGTGAAAATCCACTTTTTCAGGATCTTAGCCTTTTCCCTATTGCCCTTTTGGCTTAACCAGAGGTGGAGATGTACCTATTTGAGTTTGACTTGTACATTTGCTCATATAGTTTTGTTTTGCACATTTTTCTCATGTAAAT